GTTTTGCTATTCCCCATATATATTCGATGGGATTAAACTGGCAATGATATGGTGGCAAACGTAAAACTTGATGACCGTAACTTTCAATAATCTGATCCACAACAAAGGTTTTTGATTTTGCATTTATATTTGCCAAGCGTAATAATTCTGATTTTAATATATATTAAGGAAATGGTATATGCTCCTTTGTGTCAACCATTCTTTAATTTTATCAACAAGAATTCGTTGGACTTTTGTTTAATACTTCAGAATGGTAAGGTGCATTGTCTAAAATAATTACGCTGGGCTCACTTAAACTTGGGAGAAGTTTTTCATGCAACCATTTTACAAACATTCCTGTGTTCATATTATCGTGATAGTCACTGGATTTTGATTGAGATGAAAATATTAAATCAGCATCTTCTATAAAACCCGATTTCCCTCTTGCATGTAAAATTATGTGTCGCTTCCCTTCTCCATCGGTATGTTTGATGGACTTTACGTTATCATCTTGCCATATTCTCTTGATTGCACCCCTAGAAAATATCCATGTTTCGTCTAAATATATAAAATTCGCCCTTTCTTTTTAAAATTTAGAATATCTTCTTAGAAAGTTATTTCTCTGGTTCACGACAGAACTTCTTTCACAAAGGGCCTTTCTGTTATCTTCCTTTTGAAATTTTAAACCCAAGTTATGTATCACTTGCCATAGACTTGTTCTGTCAATGTCGTCAAATTTTCTATCTATTAATTCCGAAAGAATTATATTTAAGGTCACATGTTCCTTGTTGGCCCTCATTCGATAAATGGTATCACGAATTTTAAATTTCTTTCCATCTGGAATATCTTTCGTTTTCAATGATTTGCGAGTTTTGCGGTGATCTTCTTTCGGCAGTTCACTATTGTGATTTTGTAATACTCCTCTTAATTTGGTTTCACTAATTCCTAGAGCATCGCATACGCGTTGTTGTACAAACATTACCGATTTTAAAGGACCGCCATTTTTTTTTTCATCCATAAAATACTTATGTACACTACAAATTAGACTATCTACATCTAACAGACGTCTAGGTATTTTTAAAATTTCCACTAAATTTACAATATACATACAATGTCAACACTTGCAAAGAATCAATTCAACTGCAACATTTGTAACAAATTTAGTACCTACCCTAATGTTATTTTAATTTAAATCTGACCATTACGGCAATTTTACCTAATTTCTTGGGAAGAAGCTTATTGGAACTGGTTATCAATGAATAATTTGCATAATTTTGTTAATCCGAAACAGACTGTACGTTACATTTTTAATAGTCCTAGAAAGAAAAGGTTATTAAAAATCCTGCTATAAAAATATCCATGTAATGTCATTGATAAACGCAGTCTGGAAGAGCTGAAAAAGTGGCTCGTCGAACAAGGAACTTTTAATTTCCTACCTCTTAACTCGCGCAATGGTGACACTAAGTAGAAAAGTAGAAAAAAAACTTTCTTTTTTTTCAAAAAGTTAAATGAGAAAGTTTCAACGAGAAACCGGTTTGAATTGGTTTGAAGTAGAAGTTTTATACCTTTTCGATTAAAACTACAAAAAAAAAGGATATTGGTATCTACTAAATGATAAAGAAGGAAGGATTTCACATAAACAGTAAAATTTAGATCTATCAAGGGTTATAAAAAGTTTGACGAAATCTTCTGAGTTGAATACTAAAATTTCAAAGCATCCTACTCAACCCTAAAGTTTATGAAGCATAATATACTCTGCCTGTTGTAACATACGGGCTGAAGACTGTAATTTTAACTAAGAATTAGTGCAGAAGGTACCTAAAAGATGATTTTCCGGGTTATCTATCCTAATTTGGAGGTAATTAATTCAGTAATATAAGATATAGAAGGAGCAGGATTTACTCCATATCAAGCTTCAAGAATATCATAATCCAATACACTGTGTAACAATTTTTTATACTACTCTTGCAAATCTAATCCAAATTTAGAAACTTAGCGAACTTAAGGTTAAGTACTTGAAATCCGCCAATATCCCTGTTAGGTTTATCTACCTCAAGTGGCGGTAATTTCACGTGTTAAGTTATTACGAAAATTTGCAGTTACTAAAACCCAACGACTCAACTCTAATCGCTGATGTTGTTCAGACTTTCCGGCTGAAACTTTTATGAACTAATAACTCTCCTAAAATTACCTCGGCGTGTAATCTGTAAAGAATTGATTATGAGACCAACTTGGGGGTAAATATAATAAAAGTAATAAGGGAAGAAACCCAGTCTGGGATTTCGGTAAGGAAACGCGAAGGGTGGATGTTTAATAATTTCAATTTAATCGGTGAGATGCAGGGGGCGCTATACAATAAATGGAGGTCCTGTATCAGATAAACAGGATTATTTGAGGTTGCGCTCGGATTTTTTTCCTTTTCGTGTTTATTTTAAAAAGTATCTTATGAAAAAAAATATATAAATATAATTGTTTAGTTAGAGTTTAATTCGTAAAAATTATATATTTTATTTCTCTTTTAGTAGCACCTGACGCTTAATATGCTATCAATAACATCGATTGTTTATTACGTTTAAATTTAAACGTATAAAATACCGGTTATAACGGACTTCTGCTTTAAATTTGAATTAAACGCAATAAAATCAAGAACTATGGTTTACGAGATTCATATCAATCAAAAAGTTCATACTCTGACCGTCAGAGAGTCAGTGGTTGCTTCTAGCATTTTAAGAGTACAACAAGCGTCCATTTTCTATCCAAATTCCAAGTCCAATGATTTTACAGGAACAATATACTCATTTGAGATTTATAAAAGGTATAAGTCAGTAAATGAGGGATTTGATTTCGTAAACTATAAGTAATTAAAATCAGTTGTATTTAATTTACATTTGTTTTGATTTTGTTGTTTTAATATGTGGTGTTATTCTATAACTTTTCGTGGGTTAATATTTTTTTCATATTTTTATTTTTACATTCAAAAATATTGTTGTTTAATTTTTTCCCTTTTATTTTCATCGGAATCTTACTAATTGTGAAATAAAATGGCTCTCTAGGCATCATCAAGTACTCTACAAACCAATACCTATAACTGTATGTAAATTAGAAATAAAATTAATGTCTTTCGTGTAAATAGTCATAAATAATGCCCAGTTAGATATCTTTCTATTAATTTTATATATTAACAGATATCGGAAAATTAATTGATGAACGATACTGTGAGAAAACCATTAATGGTTCAGCACTGACATTGAAGTGAACTTTAAACTGAATTAACCTTATCGGTTAGATGCTTTTATTACAGATAAATTCCATAAATTTGTATGGAAGCTTTCTAATTTAATTTGATTTTGAAATTCTTTCAATTTGATGCAGTAACTCACTGGGCGATAGCGGTGGACATTCATAAAACAATAATTTTATGCATAGTGGTAAAATACACAACAGGATGAGATACGTATGGAAAATTTTTAAGTTTGGATGAAAGAGGAGAAAATGTGAAAAGGGCAAGACAAAATTATCAAATTTTGGTCCACCTGCCAAAGTTTTTCAGACATCAAAAATCGTCATTAGTTTTGTTGAACTGGTAGCGAAAAAAAGAAAACTAAGATAGAAATGGTAGATAACAAGGTCACCAGGAAACAAACATGTATTTAATAGGGCTACCCAAAGACTGAAAAGGGAGGGGTGCTAAATCATTGGGAAGAATACTTCAATAGATATCTAGTAAAACTGGCTAACCTGTGTTACTGAAACTGTTAAAGCCAACTAAAAAGATTCAAAATCAAGGGAAAATTTACCTAAAGAGAAACTGACTTGCCGTTTAGGTAATTAATAATTCTATAATAGCTTAGAACATTATACTTAGCTTGAAACTACAAATTAAAGTATTATTAATCATCACATAAATTTTAAAGTGAAATGGCGTCGCTTATAATATGAGCGTTCATTAATTTTAATTTAAATTTATTCAATTTCGGTTCGCATCTTAGAGGATTAGCCTCAAAATAAGGCACAAGTTTAAATTTAATAAAGTCACCCTCCAGAGATTACACCGTAACAAATTTGTTTCCGGTTTAAAGCTATTGCATTAACTGCACCTCCATTCGACCCCTTCTCCCCCTCTTCCATTCCACCAAGCTGTTCTCGAAATAAAAAGGACATTTGAATATAATTTACTTTCCAGATTTTTATTTCGTTATTTGGAGTATGTAGTTGTGGAAAAAAATTAATTTTATACTAGATTTCCTAAATTATATTTCCCAGTTTATTTTGGACCATAGAAATAGGAAAATTGGCGATTCTGTCTTTAAACCTGTGACATAGGCCTGAAAATCCTAGTTACTTATTGTAATCTACCCTCAAAAGAAGGATAATAACAATTATGGAATTTAAACATTTGTTTGGCATAATCTGTATAATGAAAGGGCTTTTCCTTTTAGAGATGTTGTTATGGCAACTTTGTCAGCATTTACACATTCCTGACATTAAATTATTGCCTATTAGTTGCATACGCAATGGGGGCGTGTATTGGATTTTTTTTCAGTAAACCCGCAACCCAAAAATCTTAACCTCAAATTACGTTACTATGTTTTACCACAGACACAGAATTCAGAAAGGAAAGTAATTGTGTCTAATATTATGGAACGTTTCCATAGTTGATGTAATTTAATTGGCCTGGCAAAATGGAACATTTCTGAAAAACATTCGTGCAAATAACGATGCAGTAATAAAAGGGGTTTTTATGCTTTTAACGTTTTATGATTTACAGACATTTTTGACGTTTGACACACGATTTGACGTTTGACAAATGCTTTTACCGTTTAATATATGCTTTGGAAATTTGAAACACATTTTAGACAAGTTTTTAATGTGAGAACGAACAAAATGAATAGGACAGTGGCTCAGAACTCAATTAGTCTTTGGTCTTTGAAATCTCATCCGACGACGAAACAGAAATAAACGAGCGAACGCTCTAATACTCTAATCCTTGTTATGAAATAAGTAGTTGGTAAAGTACTTACGTTTGCATGCCCGTCGGTGCGTGATCGCCCTGTTGGGATCCCTGTAGAATCCTTCACGGCAGTAGTGACAGTGTCTTCCGGCTGTGTAATGACGACATTTCAGGCAAACGCCTCCAGACACCCGACCAGACAACTTGTACAGCTCCATATTGAATCTGCATCTGCGGGCGTGCTGATTGCATTCGCAAGCTGAAAATTCATATTAACTTTTAATCAAATTTTTCAATTTACAAATTAATTTTGTTTAAAATAAAAATAGCAAGCTATAATTTCGAATCCTTTCTTCAACAGTGACACAACGTTTATTTTCAGTCCAATTTTTGTGAAATTTTTAGGAAATACCAATAATAACAACATTTAGGGTGGAGAAATCTTCGAAAAGTATATATTTTGAAAATTTTTAAAAGATTTTTTAAAAAATTACATTTAAGCGCCATTAAATGTATGAAAATTTGCTGTTTTTTGATTTAATAAATATCTAGTAGTTTTTAAATGGGATGATTGCCCACCTTTTTTTCTTAAATATCTCTGTAGAGTGCTACTTTATCATTGCACAAATTTAAAACTCTCTAAATACTATTTTATATTAGAAAATCCTTAAAACATTTTTGCTTTCTAAAGAAGTCCAGTTTGCTCTTAATACCTTAAATGTTATAGTATACTACCCTATTTCACCCATCAAAATTGTTTTAAATTTGCTTAAAAAAGACTCGTTACTTTGAGGTTATGATGAAGGGTTGTTTACTAATCCAATTTATGGTATATTTTGAGTTGTGTCACTTTTGAAGCATACATATTTAAATAAGATCTTTTCTGTGAATGCCGAATAATTTTTTTTATAAATTTGTTATGTTTATTTATTTAGACAGCTTATTTTCACTAAGAGACTTATTTATGTTATATTTCAATTTATTTGTATTAAAAATATCATTAATACACTAATTTACATTAACAATATTTATTTGAATAGAAGGATATCTTAACTACAACTTTACTGTAACGCAAAATTTAAACTATTTATATACATATGTCGGAGGTTGGCTTATTCAATCGAAAATAGAGGCCGTAAAAGGCTTACATAAGTCAGAGAGATACTGAAGGAATTAGAGCAGGACCAGACTGGCAAAAATGGCTCGCTCCAACTGAATAGCTACTTTGTCTAAGTGAGGAAATTAGAGGTCATAAGAGAATTGTAGTTCACTAGAAATTAAAGAGATTATTAAAAATCTTTTTAAATCTGGTGTTACCATTAAATTAATACCTAGTATTTTGTTTCAGACTTTGATGTTATCAGCAAAAGAGACGCAGATACAAGAAGTTAATGTAAGTTTTTATTTATTAATTAATAATCATATTTGGTAAATGTAAACGAAATAATAATAATTGGTGTTTACAATATTTAATTCATTTGGATACAGTTACATCCAAAATGGTTTATTGGTAGCAAAAATATGAACATTTTTACTTCTTCACTCTCAGTTAATTTATTTTTTCTTTATTTAGCTCCGTTAAATCACAATTAAAGATAATTAACCTTGTTTTTTGTCTGCGCCAACCATCTATCTATCTATCTATACCTTCTCGATTAATTCCAAGCAATAAAAAAACCTTCAGCAGAGCAATATGAAATGCTGATTGCTATTCTTCTCGTCCAAAAAAAAGGAACAGAAACAAGAAAAATTAGCTACGAGCAAAGAGAAAGCTCGAAATGTCAGTTTCTAATTCCGAACCCGTGAACCCATTTGATTTATCACAACAAGAATGGTAATGGGAAATTGCCTAACACCTGTAAAGTCACGGGTACCTTATTGCTATTAATATTTTTTATGGCTCGGAATATAGGGTGATCAGATTGCAAGGAATGAATTTCATGATAATATTAGGGGCAAAAGAATATCATTTTCTCTGGAAGAGAAATATATCAAAATAATTATTAAAATTCTTCAGGAGAGAAATCAATCTTATATCTTAAGATTACACTAACTTTATAAAATAATTTGAAACAAATGTAATGACAATACCATCGAATTAGTAAGGAGAGAAGAAGACATACCATATAAATATTCAAAATACTGTGGTAACAAGATGGCGCCTTTAGTAGGTCCGGACTAATAAAATACCTAACTAAAATTTTCCTTAAGACATTTATAAAAATGTAATGATTAAGCTATAAAGCATAAATAAAACTAATAATAAAACGAGGAGTATACTAGCATTATCCAAAAAAAGAAGATACCATTGGATGAACTTATCTTACTACTCTTAGTTAGCTCTAAAATATTGCTAGGTACGATACAAATAGATTAAAAAAAGAAACTTTAATACAAATATTTCATAAAATATTTAGCAGTTTGCCAAAAGCTTTACTATCATTTGTAATATATCTAAAATATTACTAGATTTATTATTTTCAGAAAGTCCTCCAGGATTAAATTGCGACATATTATTATTATTCCACTCTCCTAAAGTAATAACCGTTTTATTGCGCAATAAACAATGATTGATTAATTTAATTCCTAGTCGTCTACAATTAATAAACATCACCGATGTATACGTTCGTTTATTGTAGCATATTTCCATGAGTTACCACCCAAGCTCATAAGTACCTACCTATCCGATTTATGTTAGCTCGCAGCCAAAAAGTCAATTAAACCAACATAAAATACTCTCGACTGATTATACTACCCACAGGTACGAAAATGCTAACTTTGATTTGAAAATAAACCATAGATGTTGAACATCGTTTGATGACGATGGTCCTCTTCGCAGACGCTACTGAATCACATGTGGGGCTGACATCGCTCCGGGCCTGACGCTCCTCTCGTTACAAACAGTGGTGGAGAGATAGGGGTTTAATAAAAGGATTTGTCATTGTTAAATGAAATTGAATGTAGAAATTCCGTAGAATATAATCAACGAAAAGGATAGCAAAGTTAACCCTTTCAGACAATAAGCTACTCCAGATATCTGTCAAAAGTGACATATTTTGGTTAGTCATGTACACTGCATTGTACGTGGTGACTGAGAGACGTATATAAAAAATGTTTTTTATAAAGAACAGTGTAATTCACAAAACATTGCAAGTGACTATTCGCAATGTCTCATAGCTGTCTAGCAGGTAGACATTTCTGGCTATGATACATTTCAGATACCAGTTCAATAAGCGGCACTTCTTCTGGTTCTTCAAAAGTATCAGCTGTTAATGCTTCATTTTCATCTAAAAAGAAAAAATAAAATTACATATTTATTCCTAAATAACCAAAAATAGTATCCACTTATCTCTATTTTGGATCTCAGGATCTTCATAGTAAACATTCTATTTTATATCTAGTTCGTCTATCTCGAAATAATTTCCCTTGAAAATGTTAGATTGATTATTTTTAATTTAAAGGTCTTTTTCCAATAGCGCCTGTCAGTCATGATGTGCACTGTAGTGTATTTAGATTACCTAACATCAATAGGTTGGTTTTCTTGTTGAATGGTAATCACACTGCTCGTCGTATTGGTGGTGAAAAGAGCTAAGCCACACACTTATTAATTGGAAAAAAGGGTAAATAAAATTGTAACTCTTAGGTTAAAACAACTTTTGATTTAAATCTTAAGTTATTTATGTCCTTCATTTTAAGACTGATTTAAAAACGAAAGAAAAAAACATGTATGTCGCGTAAAAATGCTTTACCACTGAAAGAGATATATGTATTTTCACTTAGCTTCTTTCAGTGTGTGGGATTTTAAGGTTATAATTAGAAAATCGCTTATCTCTCTTTACCACTGTATTTTTCAGAGTTATGTGATATAATTAACTCATTTTGCCTAAAAATGTGGCTTGGCTCTTTTCACCACCAATACGATGTGCTTTAAGAATGAGTATATAACTTAAAATAGTAACAGTAGCATTAAAAATCTTATATTTACAATGATAGAATTAATGAAAATACTTTAAATCAATTTGGTAACCTAAAGTGAATTCTAAAAGACAAAAAATTTATAAATAATACAGTTCTCATATTCCTGGTTAATTTTTGTGATACGCCACTGATAGCGGACCTGCAACAGTGGATGTTGCCTTTAGGGTATCAGGAAAACAACCTATCCTGACTCTGACAACGTATTATATCCATCCAGCTCATGTAATCCTGAAATCCAGCCCACAATGCATCATTTCGAAGAATATACTACGTTTATTTTAAATCTGGAAAAAGAAATTTTATCAACTTTTAATAAAGTTTGGTTGTTGGTTCGTCATACTTACTTTTTATTTAGAGTTATTATTTCACGATAGATTAATCAATTTTAGAAGAATTACCCATAAATCTGAGTAAAATTGCTTTAGAAGCGATTGAACAAATTTTGCTTTCTATATCCAAAATTTGACGACATTTAACCTTGTAAGGTAAGCTAACAGAGAAGAAATAACAGTAAACTATCCCAAAACCACAATAGTTACCTTCACAAAGCGATATATATTGACAAAAATAATGATGTCCTAATTTTTATTTAAAAAATCTCCTATTTAGTATTTTGGAAAAGTGTTTCTAATATAGGCAATAACCGACACAGACATAGAATTATGTTCGTAATAACTATGAATTAAATACAAACTAACCCTTAAAAAAAAAAGAAAATGTTTTGTAAATCACTCCATATATCGCTTGTTCTTCTGTTAGCTCTTGTAATTTTTGAGACTTTTAAAAAAATTACACATTAATAAATAGTTAGAAACAATAAAAGAATTTAATCTTCATCGATACCCATCCTCTACGTGTTGAAATAACAATGCATAATTCTTTTTTTTAATACCCAATAAATATGTATACTTGCTTTAGCGGTCAATGGTCAGTTTAACGCACCCATATGGTAAATGGTAATAAATTCAAAACGTTTTGATTGGTTTATGTAATACGGTGGAATTGTCGTAAAACCCAATTTTTATGTGAATATAAATGCAGTTATGCGTTTACACAATATTCAATTATTCTAAAATACATAATGAAGAATTTCATCAAAAGATCTTGAACTTAATAACATTGACAAAGAAGTTGTCGTCTTCCAATGCCATTCATACTTGTATGCTCACCTGAATAATATAAAAATAAACTGCAGTACGAGTTTCATTGACTTATCACTAAACAGTTCTTAATATATTACTTTTAATCAGCCAATACATATTCTTCCAATTTAATATATTTTT